GAAGATTTTTCAAAGATAATAGAAAAGAGTCTATCTTGCGTGTATTCTTTTTTTTATTTGTCTCTTTATTCTTTTTTTCTTTTCTTTGAATTTTTAATGGCTGTTAAATCAGTGTTTGGAAAAATTCCTGCACCATTATTAAAATAAATTAAAATATGATTAATGTGATTTTAATAAAATGAATAAGTAATTTTTAATTTGTTAAAAATATAAGCATTTCTTTCGATTACAATTGATTCGTGTCAATATGTTTATTTTGTTCATTATTGAACTAATTTCATAATAGTAATAATAATACTAATAAAAATACGAATAGAAAAAAATAGTAAAAATAATAAGAAGGATAAAAAGAATAATAATGAAAATTATTATCATCATTAAGAATAATAGTAGTTTTAATTGATATATTTTTTTATATTATTAGTTTTATTTTTTTTTCTACCTGACTCGAAGCGATCGATTTAATGAATTATAGTATTATAATAATAATTGTAGTATTGGGTATTTAGAAACAATGTTCTATTATAAAATACTCATTTTCTGAATAAGACCTAATTTTCGAGAAAGTTAACGAGCAATCGGCTTAAACCATCGGCGAATTTCTTCATTTTCTCTGGAGGAGGTGAGCACATTGCGTGCAACATCATCTCGTCAACCTGATTGTGATCATGGTCCAGAAATCAAGCCAATCAAGTCTTAATTCCGGGAAAGAGGACACTCCTTAAGTGCCACAATGAAATTTTAGTATCGCTTGTTTCAAAGATGAAAAGTTAATATAGAACCTTTTGAAGATTATAATTAACAACAGTTATAAATCTCTGATATGTAGGTACATTTTTACTTTCTGTTTGCATCGTTTCTAGTCTCTCCCGAATGCTTTAATATTTCATTACTTTATTTATTAACCTAATTTTCTTTTCTTTTTTGCATTTTTTGGTTCTTTTATAACCTTCCATTGACACACTGTGTCATTTTGACCCAGATAAAGAATAATTTAATTTAAACAACATATTTTAAACAATAAATTCAAATTTAATTGACTTAATTTTTACTACAGGGATTATAACTAATTTTTACAAATAAAAAACAACTAACGGTACTATTTCTTAAATCGGGATTTTAAATATGAATTTATTTAGTGGGGAAATTAATTCTAAGACTAAAAAAATATCGAAAAGGAAAGTAAATTAAAAATTGAAATCTGTTTATATTAATTTTTAAACTCTAAATTTGATTAAAAATAATTGTAGAATCACTAATATTGACGAAGATTTTGAGATTCAATATGGAGACGCTACTCTTCACTTGAGAACGCCAAGGTCACCGCTAGATGACAGTTCAGTTCCTTCTTGGAATTTTTACTGACATCTGGTGGTGACCTTGGCGTTCTCAAGTGGAGAAATTAAACCACCATTTTATCTCAAAAAGTTTTTTTACTTTCAATAAAATTCCAAAAATTTTAGCGTGAAAATAATTTAAATTGTTTTAGTGCTCATTTTTAACGCTTCTTATTTTTATACAAAACATAATCATTATTTTGTTTTTATAAATAAATTATGTGCGACTATTCGAAACGTTTACGAAAATTCTACTGCGATACTTTTGATACTATTTTATATTTCTAAATTCAGTCCAACGCATTTTATTTATTATTTATTCAACGTATACTTTATATCGATGATTTAGAAAAAAAATATTTTTCCAAGCAAATTTTTTTTAGATATTTCCGCTTGGAGAATTTGTAACGAATTTTTCTGATCAACTCCTATTGTATATACAGAATGGTCTGTAAATAAAGTATTATTTTCTATGTGAATAATATTCTTTTTCTTCATAGTCGCAGATTATAAACGTTATAAACTTTACTAATTTTACTGAATTAACAATTTTTTTTTTGGTAAAAATAGATGAATTTTATTTCGGAAATATTAAAAATTAACGGAAATGGTCAGAAAAAATTTTGTTCTTGTATCGTTTAAAAACGTTTTCAACTTTATTGACTTAAAATATTTTATACTAAATTTGAATTAGTATGTCTGACTTTTTGCTTTTGAATTAGTAAATTTTGACTAGAATATTTGATACTAAATTTGAATCAGTAAAAATGTTTATTATTAATTTGAATTAGTGTGACTTTTTGCTTTTGTATCAGTAAATTTTACTAATAAATTGGTAGAAATTACTATTTGTTAATAAAATTTACTAATTCAAAAGAAAAAAGTCAGTCACTAATTCAAATTAATAAGCATTTTTACTAATTAAAATTTAGAGCTGCCTAAGTTTGAATTATAATTAAAAATCTTCCATTAATTTAAAATAGTTGACATTTTTTATTAATTTTTAGTAAATTGGCACTAAAACTTTAGCGAAAAATTTATAAACAACACTAAACGTAATAGTATACAATTTTACTAAGACGTAATAGAATTTTTTACTAATTTGAATGAATAGACAACTTTTAACTAACTGAAAGTTAGATAATAAAAATTAGTGAAATATTTTTCAGAAATAGTAAAAATTAACGGAAATGTGTATTTATCTTTCAATCGTTGATTATAAACGTTGTAAATATTTTTAAACATAATATGAAACAGTCATAATAAAAATTGATTAAAGTCTAATTATATTTATTTTAAAATTAATTAATTTTTACTAAGTTCGCTTTTTGGAAAATAGAAAAATATTAACGAAATTATATTTTTGCATTACTTTTCATGATTCTAAACAGTGAATTCAGTACATAGACTTTGAAATCGTTTATTTAAACAAACATTGGTAGAAAATTTACCAAAAGAAATTTTTATATTTTATAATTATTCTCATTCATTTTCATAAATAATCAATAATTAACGAAATAAGGCGAATCGTCGGCGTATATTTTGCTATATATGTAGTTTAGAAAGTGTTATTAAATATGAAAAAAATAAATTTAAAAAAAAATCGGTAACAAATCTTATTGGAAATTAAAGTCAAATTTTATTGATGTAAATTTAGAATTATGTATTGAGTTTATCATATGGAGAAAAATATTTTGAATTACATAATGTAAATATTTTTTCTTCTCTCTCTCTCTCTCTTTCTTCTTTTCTTGAAGATTTTATAAGCGAAGAAATATTTGGGAGAGAAAAAGAAAATTAGTCGAGTCAAGGCCCTTTAAATTACTCAAGATTACACGAAGCTGTTTCGTGGGATTTTTGTATTCGGCGGAGTTAAAGACCGGTCCCCCTTTGCGTGTAGATGCACGGCTATACAGGTGAATGACCCAACTAAGGTAAATCCCGGTTTGGGAACCCTGCTGTACGTTTAACGAACCGACTGATGAAACTTATTTCAAAAAAAAAAAAAACTATCTCGGCTCTTTTATCTTGACCACTTGTCGTATACCTATTTTATTCAACCCTCGTTTTTAAAAACCGCCTCCCTATTTTTCCGACACACATTCCACAAAAAAGGAAAAAATAAACTTCTATTGTATTGACACTTTTATGAAATTTGGGTTTTCCGTTCCCATATTAAAAGAAAAAAAATAAGGAACTGACACGACTCAAATCGCAGGTAATTTTCACCTTAACATTCTCACATATATATTTAATCCCACCGGATAAAGTTACAGTCGGGCAATAAAATTTTACAATAGGGGGACCTTTATAGGAGTCCTTTTAAAGTCGTGATTTTAAAATGGGAATTTAATTTCTTTTTTTCGGTTGCTTGTGAGTTGATGTCGCTCTGAAGTTTACATTTAATATAAACATAAATAATCTGCTATTCTCTATTTTTTATTTATTTGATTTTAATAAATTTTCAAAATTGTTTGATTTTATTTATTTAGTATAAATAATTTACTATTTCTTACTCTCTAAATATGAATCAGTTGAAATTTTAACTTATTTGATGTAAGATACTATTTTTTCGTATTAAAATGAGGGATAAAATTTAATTTATTATTGTTATTTTTTATTACATTAACAGGCTTCGCACTTATTTATTAAAACCTACTTTTTAGCTTTTTACTGTATTATTTTTTTGATTTTTATTATTTGATAATTTTTGGATTCTTTTACTTAGATTTGTGACACTAAAAGCCAATTTTTTCTTTTTTTTTTGAGAATTTGCACTACTTTAATTCCGTTAATAGTTGAAATAAAAAAATTATTGTTAACATTTTTTTTTTAAATTCTTAGTAACAATTACAAAAATTTTAATAAAACTATTATTTTTTTATTTATTAACTTAAATTAATTATTTATTATTTTAAAACCAAAAATCTGATTCAAATCAAATAGATTATTACCTTTACTTTTTCTACAGTAAAATTTATCGAAAAAAAAGAAGAATTTAATGAAGAAAGAAATTTTAAAAAGTTGAATAAAGGAAAAATTGCAGATTACGAAAAAAATGTCAATAATTAACAGAAAAGTTTGAACAAAAAAGTCTTATAGTTTTAAAAAAGTGTGTTTAAAACTAAAAAAAAAAATTTTACATTTTTCACTATGATGTATAATGATATTTGAATAGACAGCAGCAGCTGGTTTACATCACAGTCAATTATAATATTTCCGTAGCGTTAATACAGATTTTTCAATTTTTGCATTTGTAATTCTCAAGGAATTTAACTTGTTTAATGTTTTAGAAGAAATAGAAAAAAAAGAAAAGGAAAAAACGTGTTAAACTCGTTACAAATAATTTTAGAATCTTAAGCAATACTAACATATCGTATGTGTATAAATTTATTGGTTAAATTGTAGATATACGTTTTGAAATAACTTATCACTCGAAATTCAAATGAACATGAACAAAACTAGTATATATCTAACTAATTTCTTCAATATTTGTCGATTGCGCGAGAAAGGATATATTTATAATTTTTTTTTACTCTTTCTCTCTTTCTCTCTCGTATTTTCATTAGGAGAGAAAATGTCAAGATTTAAATATTTTCAAGTTTTATTGATAACGAAAGAAATGTACTGTAATAATTTTTATTTTTTTTTTGTTTGTTTCAGGAATGGATATAATTGGATAATATTGAATAATATTTAAATCATTGGAGTTTAATTCAAGGTATGAAAAGTATATTTAAATTATTATTAACATGAATTCTGAACTGTATCAATTTAAAATTTCGTAGGTAAAATGAAATTTTTATCTGTTCTGGGAACTTTTTCAACATAAAATTTAAATTAAATTTGAATGTACAAAAATCTAAAAATTTTGTTCATTTGTTTTTTTGTTATTGTTAATTTAGGGTTGCCACAGGTGAGGGAAATCCAGGGAAAGTAGAATTGGTCAGGGAAATCAGGAAAAAGTCAGGGATTTTTATTAAAGTCCTGGAAAAAATTAAATTTGCATTTTTTAATATATATTTATAATTAATTATTAAAAATCATGGATTTATAGAAGAATTTTACTTAAAAACACTAAAAAAATTGAATTTTAGAAAAGTTTTAAAAATTAAAAAAAAATTCTTCTCAAAATTTCAATTATCTTTAAAAATAATAAAATTCTTCTCCAAAATTCAATTATTTTTATAAATAATAAAAATCCCACATAGGAATTCAACTATTTACAAATTTTTTATAAATTTCTTCGCAATAATTCAATTATTTTCATAAATATTAAATTTTCTACAGGGATTCAATTATTTTCATAAATAACAAAACTCATAATAGAATTTCAATTATTTTTAATACAATTTTAACTGAATTCCTTGAAAAATGTAATTTTTCTTGAAAATTTTATTAAAATTCGTCGAAAAAATTCAATTATTTAAAAATTTGTTGATAAAATTCTTTATCAGAATTCAATTTTGAAAAACATTCATTTATTCAATAATTTTTCATTTTTGTATTTAAATATTGAAATAACTTCTACGTCCGAGTTTATTTTATTAAATTAATAGGTAAAATAACTTTTTACACGAATACATTCGGACAAGTGGTTTTTAATATATAAAATGCTCCAACGTTTCGAAATCAATACGATTTCTTCATCAGGGAGTCAATAAAATGTTTTACATTACATGTCAAAAGAATTAAAAGATTTTTAATCCGAAAATTGGAATGTAACATTTAGAGTTAGTAACAAGGAAACGTACTCCATTGTTAAAAACAATCATATAAATAATAAAAATAATACACAAAACAAATAAATAAACAATAAAAGAACAAAAATTATCAACAATTTACAATGAGAAAAACCACTGAAAATAAAATAAAATAAATGAAACAGGTGTAAATTGTGAAGTCAAAATTGAAACTGAAACTTGAAAACTTAAAACTGTATTTAAATAATTGAATTCTCGTAGAATTTTCTAATAAAAATTGTTTTAAAAATGAATTTTAGTTAAAATTGTAGATAATAATTGAATATTAAAAAGTATTATACATAATTTTTTAGAAATAATTGAATTTTTAAAAAAAATTATTTTAAGTTTTTAATTTTTAAATATTTAATTGAATAATTTCTGAATTTCGTAAAAATTTCCTAAAATTAAATTGTGAACAAATGAATATTATTAAATATTAAAAATCATTGAATTGTGGGAAAGTTTTTAAAATAATTGAATTATTGCGAAGAAATTTATTAAAAATTTGTAAATAATTAAATTCCTGTGAAATTTGTATTATTTTTAAAAATAATTGAATGTTTGCGTAGAATTTTATTAAATTTGTTTTGTAATAAAATTGAATTCTTTTGAAAAATTATATTAAATTAAATAGATATTAAAAATTATTGAATTGAGGGAAATTTTTTGAAAATAATTGATATTTTGCCAAAAATTTTATTAAAATTTTTAAAAATAATTAAATTCTTCAAAAAATGTAATTAAAAATGTGTTGAAAATAATTATTAAATTGTAATAAACAAATTATAGATTTTTAAAAATAGTTGAATTCTTTTGAAGAATTATCTTTAAAAATAATTGCATTTTTTGAGAAATTCATTTAAAATTGTATAAAAAATAATTGAAATCCTGAGACGATTTTTATTATTTATAAAAATAATTAATTGAATTCCTGAGAAGAGTTTTATTACTTATAAAAATAATTGAATTCTTACGACGAATTTTATTACATTTTTTTTAAATAATTGAATTCTTGCGAAGGATTTTATTAAAATTTTTGTAAATAATAAAATTTTTTTTTGAAAAATTTTATAGAAGTTTAAATTATTATAAAACATGAAGATATCGAGTGTTCCGAGTCGAAGACTCGGAGTGATCGCTATCTTCGTGTTTTGTAATTATATTCTTAAAATTTATTGAATTTTAAAAGATTTAAATTTTAATTTTTAAAAGAAAAAAATTATTGATGTTTTTAAATAATTTTACAATGAAAGAAAAAGTTAAAATTTTGTCTGGGAATCAGGGAAAAAAATTAATTTTTTGTAGCAACCCTGTAATTATTAATTTGTTAATTGTTTCTTTTATTATTTGTTTTTTACTTCATTGTTTGTATTTAAATATAAAATAATTTATGATGAATATAATAAAGTAAAAATTAAATTTTTTTTCCTCAACAAAAGAGCGGCAGGTTTTATATTATATATATATAAATATATACGTGTTAGGAATCAAAATTTTTCTTCAATAGAAAGAAAAACGTTGAGAATAATATTTCTGATCGTGAGTGGGAGCGTCTTTGCAAAAGGTCTCTGTCTTTTTCTTTCCCACTCTTCTTTCATGGAAAACGAGGACGATCAACTCACAATCGATTGACCGAATCGAATTAAGTACTCCTGTCTTTTCTTTTTTTTCGCCGTAAATTTAATAGAGATAGAACATTACAGGAATATGTAATAAAATACGTATATTGTCGATGCTGAATTCATTTATCGACAAATAATAATTATAATTCCACGTTTTTTTAGAAAAATTGTGAGAAAACGTTTTTCTTTTTTCCTGATAGATAATGAACTTCTTTTCCTTTTACGTAATAACAATGTTTATTCATTTAGTTTATTTATATTGTCTTAATTTTTTATTTCATTTTAAGGAAAAGTTTATTAATTTAAAATAAAGTTTTTGCTTAATTTTTTTTTGTAATTAAAATCCAAAAAAAAGGAAAAGTAGAAAAAGAATTTTGACATTTTATTGATTAAAGATTGAAAAGAGTAAAGTAAAGAAAGTTGAAAAAAGCAAATGTTTTGAGAAAAATATAATTTTCCTTGACAATATTTGCCGGTGGAATGTAAATTTTCCTGCTTTGACTTGTGACTTAAAAAAAAGGAACATAATACAGATATTTTCTTTTTTTGTTCTGAATATTATATTTTAAAAGTGCTTGCACAACCTGTAAATGAAATTATTGTTGCGGTAGAGTTAAAAATGTTTTATCGTCATTTTACGAGCAATCTTCCCATCAGACATTGGCTTTTGACACCTGATCGATTTTCTAGGGTAAAAGAAAAAAGTTTCTACCAAAATAGTTCGTGTTCTCACAGGGAAAAAAGGAATAAATTGACTTTTACTATTTTCATGAATAGTAAAATAGTACTTGGAATTTTTATGCAGTTTTTAAATTTTTTATTGCAGTTCCGATTTCGAGTAAATTTTTTTGTTTGCCTAGAAAATTTTTACCAATTCTGTATAGCAAATACTTTTGTGATGTTCACATAATTTATGATTAACAATTTGGAAGAAAAAAAATATTTTTGCGCATTTCTGCCAATTTTTACTATTCCGGAAAGAAATTTTAGGATCTACTGTACAGTAAAAATAGTTTTACTATGTAGTAAAATGCTTTTGAATAAAAAATCATCTTTTTCGTTTTTCTTCTTCTTCTTCTTTTTAAAACTTTGTGAATATAAGATGTCAGAGCACTTTTTTTCCTGCCTTCAAAATTTTTTTTCTTCTTAACGAAAGAATATTTTGAATTTATTCTCCATAAAACTTTGAATGAGTATAATGATTTTTAAATTCTGATGTTGAAATGTAATTCAGCGACCTCAAAAGTAGCGGCAAATCTTGTTCGTCTTCTTTTTCTTCTTCTTCTTTTTCTCTTTTTGGCTCTACCTACCCAAATGACAGTTACCGTTAAAAATCTAATTTTTAACTGAATTGTTCTTCAACCGCATTTTTTAATGAACCGAAAGATTAAATTAACCTATTATTAAATTATTCGTCTGACAAATTATTGACATTTGAATTTTCTTGACTGCTGGAGTCGAACTAGATCCGTAAATCCAGTAAAAGTCCGTAAATTTGCTTTAATTCCTTAAAAATTAGTTTTTTTTTTAAATCGTTCGTAAAGTCCGTAATTTGTATGAAAAAATACGAAAAGTCCGTAAATTGTACGATATTCAATTAATTATAAAAATAATGAATTTTTAGTAGAATTTTAGTTAAAAAGACTAATAAAAATTGAATTTTGGAGAAGTTATTTGCAAAAATTGAATTATTTTCAACAATAATAAAATTCTTCGGAACAATTCAATTATGTTCAAATTTTTTTTTCAATTCTTATAAAAATTTTAATTATCTTCATAAATAATAAAATTCTTCTCTGAAATTCAATTATTTTCAAAAATTTTTGGCAAAATTTCAATTATTTAAAAAGAATTTTCCTCAATTCAGTGATTTTTAATATCTACTATTTTAGTAAAATTTTTCAAAAGAATTCAATTATTCAAAACAATTTGTGATAAAATTCTACATAAACATTTAATTATTTTCATAAATTAAAAAATTTAATTTCGCAGGAATTAAAATATTTACAAATTTTTTATAAATTTCTTCGCAATAATTTAATTATTTTCATAAATATAATAAAATTTTTAACAGGGATTCCTTTTTTTTCATAAATAATAAAAATTTCATAGGAATTTAATTAGTTACAAATTTTTTATCAATTTCTTCGCAATAATTCAATTATTTTCATAAATAAAGAAAATATTTTTAGGGAATTCAATTATTTTCAATTATTTTATTATTGCAGAATTTCAATTATTTTTAATACAATTTTAATCAAATTCTTTGAAAAATGGAATTATGTTTAAAATTTTTTTTTTAAATTCGTTCAAAGAATCCAATTATTTAAAAATTTGTTGATAAAATTCTTTAC